GATCCTGGAGTTCAGTGTTAAAGAATGTCATTGCCACATGACTGGAAATTCTGTTGGACTATGGTTTGGGGCAGAATGACAGTACCACTACAAGAATTGAGCGAGATGTTTTTCAATAGTGATAGTAGTAGTATCTATATGCAAAAGGAGAGAAAGATCATGAGCTTGGGTAGCATTCTGGACAGTGGCTATGCATGTACCACCTTGAGAGCATGAAATGAAACATCTTGCTAACATGATGGAGGAGCGCTTTGCCAATACTATGGTCAGAAAGGTAGGGAGAAGTCAGTCTTAAAAAGTAAAGAATTTAGTCCTTGTGTGGTCCGAAACCGAGCGTGGAGAGGGAGTGCATGATTGTTGTCTTTTCCAAGTAAGAATGGGAAGGTAACTAGGGGGCATCATCAGGAGATTGACGTTTAGGAGTGGGAAACCGAGTTGGTCCGGCGTGAAATGGGCGGGCGATTCAAAAATTGCCGTACTGTAGAGGAAGAAGCCAGAAGCATAGTCAAAGGAAGCGGTGTTCAACAAATCGAAGGAGCAGTCGAAGCCCCGGTACCTAAACCCGGGGTGAGGAAACTGCACCAGCAAGAGGTACAGGAGCATCAGGAGTGTCCGAAGAGTGGTCTAAAAACAAGGCAGGGTCAGAATGGGGTGCGGTATCAAGAAGGGGGCCCGGGGTAGTGGGTCTGATTGGGTTCTCCATGGTTAGGTTACTCCTTTGCTTTGTTTTTAAGAAAAACAAAAAATAAAAAAAAGGGGGGAGCGGGAAGGAATAGTTCCCAGGAGGAATGAAAGGGCCGGAAATCTCCCTCCGCTCCCAAGAGGACCTCAGCACCGCTAGTAGCGCAGATGCAGCATGGAACCCATGCCTTACCCTACCCTTCATGCCAATAAACCAGCAATCCGGGATAGCAACCTCACATCTGCCGAGCTACCTCGGTGGACAAAAGAGAGGGCGGCCAGATATCCGCCACGAAGCATACCTCCTTCGGCCACCACCCCCGGAATCCGAAAGGTGGCTTCCAGAGATACACCCGTCGCCCGAATGACACCCAAAGCTACTCCGGTATACTGGAGAAGGATCGGGACATCCCCAGGCAATCCAGATTCCACGGCAAACTACGCCACCACCAAGAACCTCAATGGAATGGGATGGACCCAGGTATCCTTTCCCCTACCTAGGAACTAGCGTGCATGTGGGAGAAACCCCAAAGGCCAAAAACAGGAAGGACAAAATGGAGGGGTGGGGAGGAGGAGG